ACCATACTCATAAGTGAAATAAGCCGGACCTCCATGTATAAGCAATGTATTGTCTCACTAGTGTAAGAACCTGAAAGTGTGAATAAAAAATTAGGAGGTATGGCAGACATTGTGAAATGAAAGGAAAATGCTCAAAAGTAAAGAGCAACTGGGATGAGGGAAAAGAGAGAAGAAAGAAGGGGAAATTATGTATGTATGTATGTATGTATAAACAGGATAGCTAACCTAGTTGTACTACTGCCTTCTATCACTTTACTGAAAGGAACAGTTAATGATTACTTATTTGATGTATCTTGTATGTCTCTGTTTGTTTTCCTGAAAAACCACTTTGAAGATATCAATACGTAATACAGCAACCATTGTTAATTTCCTACCACTTTGTCTGTAACTCTGTATTGCTTTTATTGTTCCTATGCTATTTGTAAATGGATGTCTGTTTGTTAATATGTTTTCCTTTTTATTTTTAAAATAAATTTTAAAAATAAGAAAAACAAAAAACTAGGGGACAAAAGTTGGAGTCTAGTCCTGCTGATGGGAGAGCCCTACAGAAATCCCATACTTTTGGGACCCTATAAAGGATACACCCTGGGAATAGAGGTAAACCAAACACAAGCCAACCTCACTGCTTGCCAGGAACAAAATTAATCTCCCAAGGAACACATCACCCACAGCCTCGCATTAATGTTTTCATTTTTCATGAGTAAAGTCTGGCATTGAAACAAAATCAGTCTAACACTCAAAAAGACAAAAATTGACCAAAATCCAACAAGTGAATGCAACAATAGAAGCAATCCTACAGGAAATCTATGTAATAAAGTAAACGGATATCAACCTTGAAACAGCTGCAATTAATATGTTGAGGAAAAAAGACAAGATAAAGAATTTCAACCAATGTCTTGGTTATTTTTCTCTCATTGCTGAGACAAATACCTGACCCCAAAATCAAGGAAGGAAAGGTTTATTTAGGTCACAGTTTGTGGATGTTTCAGTCCATATTCAGCTGACTCCATGGCACAGTGGCACATGGCAGAGGGCAACAGTTCATGGCAATGGGAAAAACAGCAAAAGCAGCAAGAGCAAAAGGGAGGAGCAGCAAGAGCAAGACTCTTTCCCTCCCTTACATTGTATGCAAAATACCTGCCTGAGGGTGAGTGTAGCACTCACACCCATGAATCAGTCATAAACTCTAGAAGACTGCCTCATGACTGCATAAGGTTTTGGGGGCACATCCAGGCACAAACCATAGCAACCAAGAATTGAAAAATTTAAAAAGTAGATAAATGTAAATGTAGAACTGTAGCCTGGCATGGTGGCACTCGGCTGTAATCCCAGCACTTGGGAGGCTGAAGTAGGAGGATTGTTGTGAGCTTGAGATTAGCCTGGGCTACAAAGTGAGTTAAAGGCCAGCCTGAACTGCATAGCGACACCCTGTCTCAAAAAGACAAAAAAAGAAAAACTAAATGTAGAACTGTAAAACGAAGTTAAGAATACAACAGAGTTCTTAAAATTGGATTATACACAATTATTCAAAAAATTAATGAACTGAAAGATAAATCAATATAAAAATGTTCAAAATTAAGCAAAGAGAAAAGAAGGAAAACAGAAAAGAATGCTTTTAAATGTATAAAATGTCTCAAACTCGGTAGGGATGTACATTGGTACAAGCACTTGGGAGACTGGCAGCATCTACTACATCCAACGCATGTACACCCAGTGTATTTATTTCCGATGACTCAGAAATGGCACTAATAGCCATACTGCTAAGTGAGAAAATCTGCCTGTGTGCACCAGGCTTTCCTCATATAGAATAGAACAACTGATTCAGGAAGAATAAATTCCTACAGCTCCATCTATCCACGTGCTGAACAAACTTATTATATTCCAACTGAGACAGAAGCCAAAGACAAATTTAGATTAGTACAAAATGCATATGCTCTTACTCATATGTCTATCTGAGCAGAATAGGATCGAAAGCATTTAAGGAAGTAGATCGTGCCACAAGCCTCAAAACTGAACTCTAAAGATTGTATTGATGATCACGGACTGAAAGCTCACTAACTTCTAATTAGCCTCAGAAACTTTTAAATTCATTATCAGCTAGAGAATGCTGGGGGCTTGTTCTAGTCACTACCTGGACAGAATCATGTCAGCCTTTCAGGAAAATGAGGTCAGAACCTGGAGCACATGGTGAGTATTATTCATCTTTATTCATTTTCTTCCAAGTTATTATTTCATATTAAATTATATTCTGTAACTGTTCTGTTTTAGAATAAAGTATCCCTCAAAAACTTTATGTGTTTGATGGATGGAGGGAGACAGAGGGAGATGAGGGAAAGGGGAATTAAAGATTACTAAGATGTGATATATATATTACAAACTCTCTAGATCACAAACATATACTAATAATACTTTTTCTTACAAGAAAGAAAACTCATTGACTCTTGGGGCACTATACTCATCAGTGGATTCATCCACTGACAAATTCAGTAGCTAGAGGTCCTGTCAGGAAGTAGGGGCTGGATGGAGGTGGACCACTGAGGGTGTGGCCTAGCGAAGTGTATTCTTGTCCCCAGCTACTCCCCTCCCTCTTAGCTTCCTAGCTCCCATCAGTTGAGCACCTTTTTCTGCACCATGTCCCTCTGCCATCCTGCACTTGCCTTGGAGCTAGCTGACCCAGACTGACCCTGTGAGTCAAAATAAATCTCCTCCTTTAAATTGTGGGTGTCAGGTTTTGTGTCCCAGTGATAGGAAGATAACAGAATAAACAGGGTCAGCCACTCTGACAATGCATTTCCCCAACAATCCAGTGTAAATCTCTCCACATCTGGCAACAGCATCTCCAGCAAAAGAATGTCCTTCATTACAAGCTTGTACTATGTTTTTCCCAAGAGGAAGCTTGGCATCTTCACCCTAAACAAAAGTAAAAATGGACAAAGGTTGCATTTGTCTATTTTGCATTAATAAAATGTTTCATTTTGCTTTATTTTCTCCATAAATCATGGCTTCTTTTAATCATCAGACAATCTATATTCCATCACTGCTTTGGGAAATTGTCTATAAATTCTATAACTTGTTTTCCATGTGTAGTACACTTCAACAACACTACTACAACCATTAATTGAAATAAAGCCTTAATGACATGTATATATAATGTATTGATTACTATACTATAATGTATCAATTGGTCCCAACATACTATGTGCTATACTAAGCATTTTATTCAAGCTATTTTAAGCATTTATTTACCAGATGCTACTCAAGTAATTTCTTTCTCTTACACTTTTAGGATAGGGATGTTGATTGGCAATAATACCTCATAAGTGCTAATATGAGTACACAGAAGTATCAAAATCTTGTCAGCTGGTTCAAAGTTCAAGTCTCTCACTCATGAGTTTATGGAATGTATAATGTTAGTCTTCCCCATCTCGACCCTTCTACTTCACTCTTAAGTGTAGAAAGAGTGCTGTGGTTAAGTCAGACCACGAGGGCATTTTATTAGCCTATAATGCTGGGAGGTGAGCTTGCATGGTGAGCAAAGAATTTAAAGTGTGAGCCTGTAGAAGATAATTTTGTTCATTCAGGATCACTCCTTGTTTCCTTCCTTACCCTCCAGTGACCTGCCACTCAGCAGGTGGGTAAGAAATTCAAACATAGAGCTGGTACCTAGACAAACTCAACTCTAGGGATTATAGCAAACTTTCCTGCTCCCTCCTTCTCACTGGCTTTTGCTTTGGCTGATCCACCATGGAAGATGGTAAAAAGCAGAGGGCTCAAGTTGGTATTGAAGAAAATGGGGAAGGGCTTGTGTTCATTCTAGATTCTTGCACCTAAACTTTCTTCCACCTTGCAAATAGACTAACATGCATGTCTAACTCAGAAATTCCTGAATTTGACACTATGCCAGAACAACCTGTAGCAATTTTTAAAAGTCACCTTTGAGTCTCTACCCTAAACCTATCCATCAGAAAAAGTGAGAGGAAGCATCAGTCTCTTCCTAAGTTCCCTGGATTGAGGGCCGGGGATATAGCTCAGCGGCATAGTACCTGTCTCAGTTCCCTGGATAACTCTATCTGGCCAGCTTGTATAGCAGTGTTTGAAAACTCTGCACTGGAACCTGGAGTGACAACAGCCTCATGGTTTAAAGGTACTTGAATTTCCTGCGCTCCACTCTCTGAGCCTGTTTCTGCAGGAACTCCATGGATTGTGGCAACTCTAGTGGGACAGTATGGGCATTAGAGATGCTAGGTTCTCTTATTCTTTCTCTCCACATTTGGGAGAACCTCAGCAACTCTAAGATGCTCAAGAGCCTGGAATTTAAGAGGCAAAAATCCTTCATGACAGAGGTAAAAATGGCAGTATTGAGAGCATCGTGATGAGTGATATCTTCTATGTGAATCACGACAAAACTTTACTGGGATTTGGGAACCAAGTCCTTACCACAAAAAATTGCTAGAATATCCCTAAATTGTATAGCCCCAAAACCAAATCAAGTCCCTAAAATGGTAAATGGCAGATGACTGGTGTTCCTTTCTAAACTAGAAAACTACAGTGACCCAGATCTCAACACAAACTGGCCTAAATGTCCTTTGACTCCTGAAATAAACTTAATTCCTTATTTCAAGCCTCATATTTAATAGTTTCAAAGATTCTTTTCATTGGCAAGGATAAGGAAACATCTGTATATTCTTTATATTCACAGTGGCAATGTTTAGTAGCCCTCTGACAAGACTACATTTCTAATTCAGTGGGTGGCAGTACTGATTTCCCATAACACAGAAGGTGTACTGACTTCTGTAAAGTCTGAATCACCTCGGGCCAAAGAGTAAGTCACAAACTAAAACTTTTACCACTAAAATTAAAATTCACACTATTTTTAGCTCTATTTCACTATGAAGAAAGGAAATAGATAATGGCCCAATAGAAATATAGAACTTAGAATATTTGAAGTATATATACATTTTCTTCATAACCAACTTGAAAAAAATCCTTCTTTCAATGCAGGAGGTGATGAATAGAATTCTTTGGGGAACAAAGACAAAGGAGAGCAGTGTAGTTCAAGCAATCTGAAAGGAGGGAGGGGAAAAGGTGATTAATGTGATTGAATTCTAGAGTTTAATAAATATTTTGCATTATATTGAATTTTTCCTTTGTATCTGAAAGCATATAATGTATAAATTCATTATGTGATTTTTTGTCCTTCTTACAACCAAGTATCTGTTCATGTCCTATGTTAGAAAATTCACATGTAAACTTGATACACCAAAAGACAGTCATTCAAACAGCTACATGATCGGTGTATGCAAAAACAATGAGGAGAAAGGGGATAAAGGGGAGGGAAAGAGGATGGAAAATAAGAGAACTGAAGGGGAAGATAATGACGAAAATGAAGCTTTTGCAAATGGAAAGGGTAGCAAAAGTTGGAGGCAGCAGGGAAGGAGAAGAGGGATAAGGGATGAAACATTTAAAAAGAAGAATTAGATATATTATATTCACGTATCAACTACCCACAATAATGTAACCATTATGTATGGTAAACATGTATTAGTAAAAATGAAAGTAAATGAAAACAGAGGTAAGTCTTTGGACAGCATGCCTAGTTTATATGACTTCCAGGGCTCACCGGTTTCAGAACTTACATTTCTCCTGTTATTGGGTTCTGACATTCCTTTAACACAGAATGAATTTTGTGTTGAAAATGAAGAAAGTAGAGTTAATCTTCCCAAAAGTCAAGACCACATAGTAACTACTGCTTACTAAGCACTTACTATGTGCCAGGCACAACGGCTGTTGCTTTGCACATGTGCATTCGTTCACTACAGTACACATAGCCAAGGTCGTGAGTTCAGTTCCTGGTACCGGAAAAAAACCAAAAACCCAAAAATAAAATAAAATAAAAACTACAGTACACATAGCAACTGATCGAGACATTTGGAAAATAATGACGCAGAAAGTTTCAAGAACCTATCCAAGATTATGAACTAATAAGTACCAGAGCTCAATTCATGTCCAGTCAGTTGGACTTCCACAACCATGCTCTTTCTACCCCTCATAAGGCAATAAGGAAGAAGAGAGAGTCACAATGTCTACATTTTTTCTTCAATACACATAAGTGACAGCACATTCCTGGGCAAAAACAATTTTGATAAGGTTTGAGGCAAGAATCCTAAGCCTACAAGAATCCTAACCCTGATAATGTACCATCAACAGAATCAATTCCCTAGCAGGAATTTGTAGTTACGATAATAATAATGATGTCATCCAGCATTAACCAGTAGATTTCAGTAGTACCTCTGAGTGAGGTCAGTATGCTATCAGTGTAATCTCTGCTCTAGAGAGACAAAATCTGAGGGAAAGCACACAAGTAGCCTGCAAGTGTTGCCTGCTTCTCAGCTCAATTCCCTACCCTTTTGCAACACTTACACGGTATTCAAATTATTTTATGAGAACTTTCTCTCAAAACCCCGAGCAGAAGAGGCTTCTAACAACAGCATAAACAGTGGGGTACGGCACAGGAAATTCTGGACCAGGACACACTGGGTCAACTCCATATTTTTAAAGTAGCTTTTGCAAGTTCCCTGTAAATGTGAAGTTCATGCCAGATGACCACAATATTTACTAAATGCTTCCTATGTGCCGGCCACTGTGCTAATTGCTTTATATGACTAACCTCATTTAATTCTAACAACATCCTATTACAGATTTACCTACTGCTGTTATTCAATTTACTTTAATTGTTATGGGTACATGTTTACAGAGCACAATGTGTACATTCCTCGTGTGCAGTTGGTCCATGTACATAACAGAGCTCAGTTCTTTTTTCATCAATTTCCACACCCTTCTCTCCTGCCTCCATCTCTTGGTCCCTTTCCCTTTTGTAAAAGATCGATCTCCCTATCATCTATTTTTTGTTTTGTTCTTTAATTATGTATGCTTTGTGTTTCCTACATATGAGAAAGCATGTGATATTTAAGCATGGTCATTAGAATCTTAGAGCTAAGCCAAGTCACTTAGCCATGGTTAATCAAATGGGTTATGCAAATAGGTTAGCAAATAGGTGGCAGATTGGCTGGATGCCAAAGCTGCAACTCATATCCACTGGGACTAACTCCCCATGATGAATGTCATCTTTATGTACTGCAAACATGTTTTAGTAAAAGTTTAAATTAAAAAAAAAAATCCACTCGGGGCCAGGCGTGGTGGTGCACGCCTGTAATCCCAGCACTCAGGAGGCTGAGGCAGGAGGATCACTGTGAGTTCGAGGCCCACCTGGGCTACAAAGTGAGTTCAAGGCCAGCCTGAGCTCCATAGTGAAATCCTGTCTCAAAAAGGAAAAAAAAGAAAAAAACCCACTCGGTTGGCTTCTACCTGGTTACTCAGCCCTATGCCTCACTGGTGTCAGAAAAATCTATACACACAAACACAAGTTGGCCACAATATGCTCCCCACCACCACTGACCACAGTGCTGCATGGCAAAGCAGTCACTGCTAAAAGTCACCACACCACGCACTTTCTTAGTCTTTCCATGCAGCCTTCATGTGCTCTAAAGCCATGGTGTGCTCTACAGTAGAGGCCACTGTGTTAATGTAACTGCCCAGAGGTCCGGTCCATTACTGCCAATGCTTCAGCTCTTCATCTTCACACTGCCTGCTTTCAGTTGTCTCTTCAATGCAGGACTTCCCATCCACACTGGGATATGGGTTATTATATTCTCAGGTCTTTGTTTCTTTCCCTTGAAGAGAGAGGCTCCATGAGAACCAGCAACTTCAACCTCCATCAACCTGCCCAATCCCTCCTAGAAGACAAGAGAGAGGCTCTTCAACAAATTCTTTGAGAGGACAGCTTCAGAGTTTATTGCCGTGGTTCTTGTCAGGTATGTACTGGAAGAAGAAACAATTCTGGGATTGATTACTGCTGCTCTGTTCACTGGGGTTTTTTTCAATAACCAGAAGGATTCCATATGCTGACTCAGAATATCCATAGTAAGGCTGCATCAGTGAACTCCTTGCATATTTTGAATTTGTTCATTATTTTATAACTGCTTCAAATCACTTTCATGTACACTATATCATTTACAGTATTTACTTCTCACAACAATCAGCCAAGGTAGGCAGGAGGTCTTCCATCATTTCTATCTAATACACATAGGCTCTAATACAGAGTGTTTAAATGCCACATCCAGTGTTGTAGTGACCACCAACAAAGCCACATGCAGACTGTGACCAGCCAGAGGGCTGAGTCCAGACTTTCCCTCACCTGTCTCCAGTAAGACAAGTTCCTATAGCTAATGCACGGACTTTCCATGAAAAGAGCGTGACCTACTGTGTCTTTTAGTTTACTGACCCCCAAACAGAGCCTATTTGAGATTCATGGTTCTTTTGGTGTTTTCCCCTATCACACCCCCTGGGGAAAATAAGAACAAACTGAACCATATTCTAAGAGTCTTGTTCTCCTAGTTAGACAGCGATCTCTGAGACCATTCTCCCCAAGCTCTGTATTCTGACAGCGTTGTGTCCTGACACAGGAGTATTTGCTGCTCCTAAGCATCTCCTATTGGGTGACCACATTCCTCTTCTCCGCACTCCACAAGGATTCAGTATTACACACATCAAAACTAAGCCAATTGGGGCTGGGGATTTAGCTCAGCGGCAAAAGCGCCTGCCTGGCAAGCGCAAGGTTGTGAGTTCGGTTCCCGGTACCGGAGAAAAACCAAAAAAAAAAAAAAAAAAAAACCTAAGCCAATTTACATATTTCCCATGACCTTCCTTACACTATCATATTAGATTTTATTTAATAAAGTAGTCCTGACTATGTTAACAGGTGGCAAAAATGGCGTAACACACTATGATTGATATCCTAGTGCTTACCAGCAGGAGGTGCTCCCATTTTAACAGATAATTGGAAATCCAAGCCACAAAGAAAGAAATCACAGTGGTGGAATTTCAGTTTACCCGGACAGACTTGGGATGACATTTGGGGGTAAGTATGCCTTCCTAATGTGTGTCTATAAGCAACCAATGTTTAGTTGTGTGTTTGTTCATTATGCAAAATAGGAGTAGAGATGTTTCAAAGAGTGTATTGTTAGAAAGGTGAGGAAATGTGAGCACAAGCTCCACAGACCTGTATTGCAGCACAGCATTAGAGAGATAATTATGGAAAATATTTAAACCATATTCTATTCTCTTGTTTGCTTTGCTTGTTGTTGTTGTTATTGTTGTTGCTGTTTTGAGACAGGGTCTCGCTGTGTATCCCAGGCTGGCCTCAAACTCATGGCAATCCTGCTGCTTCAGCCTCCCAGGTGCTGGGATTACAGGTGTGCAACTCCAAACCTGGCCCGTACTCTATTTTTCTACTCAAATGGAGAATAGGAAGTGGGAGCCCCAGTGGGGTTATTAATTCAGGTGGATAAAAAGAGAACAGCAAAAAGTCTTAGACACAGTAACTATACTATAAGGATGGACAAGGGAGGGAGATTCTAAATTCAAATGCAATTTTACTTCATCATATATCAAGAAGCACATCTTAAGCCCAGAAAGAAGGGGTTAATTCCCTTTCCAGTGTTTCCTTCATGACCAAAGGAAATGCACACACTGACCTGCACAATTCCCTATGAGGACTCCTTTTTCACACCCCACATTTTGGTGTGTGGTTTGCAGTGGCACTGACACTGGGTCCCCCAACAATGGCCACGCCACTGCCGGCAATGGCAGAGGTCAAACACATCCAGGGACTCTTCAAGAACCCATTTCAGATACACTCTTTTCACAGAAGCCCAAGGTACTTCCTGTACCAACTTATATAGAGGTTCTATCTACACAAATAAAGAAGTCAGTCAGTGTTCAGAGCTTTAGGTAAAAACATTTTTCTCTTCACATTAGCCACAATAGAAATAAGCCCTATAGAAATAAGCCCTATAGAAATAGCCCTATAGAAATAAGACAAAATCACTCTTATGCTCATTATAATAGTCCTTCCTTATCCATCAGGGATTTGTCACAAGACCTTAGTAAATGCTAGGGACCATGGATAATACCAAACCCTATGTATACTATAATTCTTCTGCGAAAACACAGCTATGATAAAGGTGAATTTATAAATTAAGCATGGGAAGAGATTAATAACAATAACTAATAATAAAATAGAGCAGTTATACTGCAATAAATATTATTTAAAATGTATACATTAAGCTGGATATGGTGGCACACTCTTGTATTCCCAGCACTCTGGAAGGTTGAAGCAGGAGGACTGCAAGTTCAAGGCCAGCCTGGGGCATCTTGTATCAAAATAAAAATAAAAAATTGTAAAGGATTGGGGATGTAGTTCAGCACAAAAGTCCTGAGTTCAATTCCCATGTTACAAAAAAAAATTATGAATTGTTTATTTCTGGAAGTTTCCATTTAATATTTTCATATCACAGTTGACTGACCTGAAACTGAAACAAGAAAAGTGAAATTGAAGGGGGAACTATGGTACAATTATTTTTTGCTCAAATAAAAAAAATGAAAGAAATTCACTAGGCAACAAAATCAAGATAAATCTGAATTAGCTAGGAGAAGAAATTTTTTTAGATTTTGTATATATGTATACAATTTTATAAAACAGAATAATCATTTTCTACCTAACGGATGATTATTTTGAAGATGACATAGTACCACCTTCATAGAAAATAGGAAAAAAGAAATACTCTTAAATTACAGCAAAGAGGGGCTGGGGATTTAGATCAGTGGCACAGGGCCTGCCTGGCAAGTGCAAAGTTGTGAGTTCGATTCCCGGTACCGGAAAAAAAAAAACAAAAAATAAAAATAAATAAATAAATTACAGCAAAGATGCAAATGCCATTAAATTTAGACTTAAGTTCCCTGACTCTGAGATATTTCATATGTTTTAGTGGAGATTGTGGACGTTCACCTGAAGAAGGTAAGCAGTATTTCTCTGTGTTGGATATTTCAGAAGAAAAGCAACTTATAAATCACAAATGTCCTGAAAAAATGTAAACAGTCAGCTCTCCCAGGAGAAGAGGGCTCTGGTTTATAGCACTTGCTAATTTCCTTAGTGTCCTATACCATGACCAGTTTTGGGGCTGTCACCAGAATGTCACTAAGAACACAACTCAGAAGAGGTGTGCACCATTGGTTCTTGGGAGCCAGGCTTTTCCGAGCAGGTGGCCTTGCGTGATCACAGATGTACATGACCTTTCACTTTCCTGCCCAGCCAAGAAGTCAGCATAACAATGGGGTTTTAGTCTTTTATGAAAGAGTACAAAGTTGCATCTATAAAAGAATACTCATTTTTCCCTAAGAATTTTAAAGAATATATGGAATACTGACAATGAATACAAACCATTTTAAATGTTTACAGAGGGCACATTCAGAAAGTTTCTTGGGGGGAGAAATACTCATCCTTTCACTCTCAACTTTATTCAGAGGAAGTGGGTGCAAGATGCTGCTAGGAGAGTAGCTGAAGAGCCATTGTCAATTTTCTAAGTATGTGGAGCACATCCAAGTCTCTTAAACTCTGAAAATCTGGCTTTGAGACTCCCAAACCAAGGAATAGATCATAACATCAGCTGTGTTATAATGTTTGTTTTGAAAATTTGGATTCATTCCACTGAGAATTGCTGTATTAAGAAATAACATGAGCATCTCACAAACTTTGCATTTTCTATGTTTGATTTTATCTCCAAGAAACACAGGGAGAACAAGAAAAACTGCATGCAGTCCAATCAGCTCCCATAGGAATGCATGAAACACACCTGTGTGCACAAACCTCAGACGTCTCCATCAATTCACTACCTGTTAGAAACTACACCCGTCCATCTGGTGCTACACTATCCATCAGATTTCTGATTGGTTTTGTTCCATCACTCCAAGATACTCTCAAGCTGCACCCAGTAATCTTGCTTCAGCCCTTCTTCTGGGTAATATGCCTCGTATATGTTTTATTGATAGCTATCTCTTTATGAGCATCACAGATGATGTTTTTAGTGTGTACCCCTAACACAGCTTTTCCCTACAAGCCTTGTGGTCTTTATTATTCAATTTTGCATAGCTTAGTGATTTGGGGGACCACATATGTTGTGTTAGAAAAGTACTCATTGTATCAATAAAACATCCTTAATTCTGCCAGACAATTAGAGGCTATCTTCAGCAATGGATAAGCCTTGGCCACAGGAAGGAAGGCGATCTTATCTGACGTATGTAATACCAGGTAAGTCTAAATGCCTTCCCCTTCAAAGAATCCATAACTCTTCTGAATTAGGAACTGAGGAAAATATAATCAAATTTAGGCTAAAAGTTAAAAATATAAATTTCATCTTTAATTTCCCTTGAGATTTCCAAACACCTAACCTTTACAACAGAGTTATAAAAATGCCAGATACCACACCTTCTGTTTCTTATTATTATGCATGCATTCATTTTACTATATAAAACATAATTGGGATACAGAAAATGCTGATTACAGCAGACTCTGTTTAGCCATATTGATTTAATCTCATTTTCCCAATGCAAATAAACATGACTGCTTCCTACAGCTTTAAACAGAGCATCACATACTTTTTGTTTTATGACTTCGAGAAGATTAGGTACAGATTCTGCCCAGGCAGAATATCTCATTTTGTTCTCAGCAGGATTGTTCAGATTCAGGAAACTAAGGCCCCATCTGAGGGCTGCACTTCCCTCTCTAACAAACGGTGATCCTTTCAACACACTGCTCTCAGTTCCTACCCAGGAGAAACCCACCGCAGTAAGTCAGAGTGAAAATAGAACCAAGTCAAACACCATGCACCAAACTCACGTCAAAATGGTTCACAGACCTCAATATTAAAACAGAAACACTAAATCTATTGCAAGAGAAAGTAGTTGAAAATCTTGAAAACATAGGGGTAGGCAGAGAGTTCATGAACAAAAACCAAACCACACGGGAAATACTTCAAAGAATCAACAACTGGCATCTCATCCTACTGAAAAGTTTCTGCACATCTAAAGAAATCACCAATAGGATAAAAAGACAACCCATAAATTGGGAAAAAATTTTAGCTGACTGTCCCTCAGACAAAGGGCTTCTATCTAGAACATATAAAGAATTAAAAAGCATCAGCCCCCCAAATTCAAGGACCCAATCAAAAAATGGGCAGCTGAGATGAATACACACTTCTCAGATAAAGAAATACAAATGGAAAATAAATACGTCAGGAAATGTTCAACATCATTAGTCATTTGAGAAATGCAAATTAAAACAACATTGATATTTCATCTCACCCCAGTAAGAACAGCTATCATTAAGAAATCAACCAATAACATATGCTAGCAAGGCTCTGGAGAAATAGGAACTTTTCTCTCCTGCTGGTGGGAATGCAGACCGGTGAAACTACTGTGGAAATCAGTTTGGAGATTCCTCAGCAAACTAGGTCTAGAGGTCCCATTCAACCCAGCTATTCCCCTTCTGGGTATTTTCCCAGAAGATCTGAAAACATCATATCACAGCAATATATGTGCACCCATGTTTATAGCAGCACAATTTGCAATTGCTAAATTGTGGATGCAACCCAAATGTCCATCCACTGAGGAATGGATAAAAAAAACTGTGATGCTTTTATATAATAGAATATTACTCAGCTATAAAGAAAGATAAACTCAAGGCTTTTACAGGTAAATGGTCACAACTCAAGGCCATACTCATAAGTGAAAAAAACCAGACCTGCATGTGTAAACAATGTATTGTTTCATTAGTGTAAAAACCTGAAAGAGTGAATAAAAATTAGGAGGTATGACAGACATTGTGAGTTAAAAGGAAAATGCTCAAAAGTAAAGAACAACTGGGCTGAGAGAAAAGAGAAGAGAAAGAAGGGGAAATTATGTATGTATGTACGTATAAACGGGATAGCTAACCTAGTTGTGCTGGTGGTTTCTAGCACTTTACTGAAAGGAACAGTTAATTATTACTTCTTTGATCAATCTAGCATGTCTCTATTTGTTTTCCTGAGAAACCACTTTGAAGATATCAATACGTAATA